CGCTTTTGGATTGAGGACGATTCAAGCGTCAGGATTGGACGTGTACTTATCGTCAGCCATCGCAATGTACAACACCCCCGATGTTCGACCAGTTCTGAAAGCGTACGAAGGAAAAGATATTCCTATAGAGTATGCCAAGAAAGAAGCAGAGACAAAGAGACTAGCTTTGGAACAATGGGAAAGGACACATCCGAAATCTATAGCTGGTGCAGGATCTGGATGGGTTACTTCGTTATTTGGAAGTGTCGCTTCTGTAAGTGATAATACTCCTTAAAAAGTTCTTCCCTCTCTGCATCATCATCTCCACCCTCTAACCCCCTACTCTTGATCCTCATCACAATTGCCCATCTTATCCATTCAGATTCCACAGTATACATGTCAACCTTTTTTCCCAAATATCTCACGACGAATTAACCTAGAACTTTGTAGCGGTGCTTTTGGCTCTGAATCACTTCCGATGAGATACTTGTTGTCAGAGGGAAAAGTACTGTATTCATCAACAGCAATCCGGTCAAAGACGTTCAGATCAACCTTTGACATATCTTGAGCAAAAACGTGCCGAAGCGCAAAAACAATATCAATTAGAGAAGAAATATTATCAAGATAATGCTGAAGAGTTCGCTCGGTTAGTACCGCCTTACTCAGTTCGTGAGATTGAATGTCACTGACAAGTAGGATGATAGAAGAAGATAAACAACGTCAATTGGCAGAGATGAAAGGAAGTATTTGGGGGTTCCTTACTGGTGGTGCTGCGACTGGTGGGACGACGGATAAGAAGTGATCTTTGTTTTATAGGACATGCAACATCTCTCTCTTCAATGCTGTTGTGATTATTGTTAGTCTCACTGTTACCCCATTATCACTCGTGCTCTTGCTCTCCTCAATACTCTCACTCTTGATTCGGTTCGAAGTCAATGCTCTTTCTTTCCCTACACAATTCGAAGCTTTCCTCAAAAGCCAATACAATATGTAGTCGAAATACCCTGAAACCCCGGGGGAGATGGGTAAGACGAGAATTATGATATGCGGTGCATCATGCTATTTCAACCTATGGTCTAATGTTTCTTTTCTTCCTTTTCCGCTTCAGCGACGAATTGTTGAATACTACAAATCAGCCATAACCTGGGACATCCTTCATCATATCTCTGAATGACATGACCCAATATTCTAATCATGACCCGATATTCCAATCAGGACCCAATATTCCAATCATGACCCAATATCCAATCTCTAGCATCTTGTGAGATCTCAACAAAGTAAATTAGAGAGACGTATGATCAAATCTCACCAAGTAGATTATGGAGCGACTGGTGAGAAACGAATGTAACAAAAGTGAAAGGAGGAGGTGAATGAAAAATCAAAATGAACGAAGGAAAAAAAACTCACAAATCAGCTTCTTCTTTAGATTCACTTTTCACCGTTTCGGCAATAGGAGGGATAGTGGAAGAAGATTTTTTACTACCACCTGATGAAACTACTGCTGCTCCAACAGCAGCGAAGATAGTTCCCAAAGCGCTTAAAGTGAGCAACGTCATTGTATATTCTGGGATGATCTTTTCCATCTTCGTCTTTAATGTCTGTGTGTAGTATACGTCAAAGCCTCGTCTCTTCATACTTTACTTTTACCCCCGAGGTCCCATCCTTCCCATGAGAAGCCAGAGGTCGGAACTTGTGTTGTGTGACCCAGATGTACCTCTTCCACTCCGCCCAAACTCCAAAGTTATGATATGAGGACCTTTTGTAATTTCGAAGCAAACTTCCAACAGGAAAGTCATCTTGCCAGTGACCAGCCTTCTTTCACTCTTCTTGTTCATCCGGCTGTATCAAATATGTGGTGATTCGACGACGATTGGGAAGGAAGAGAGAGAAAAGCTCACAGATATTCGTTCTGACCATCAGCATCTCGCCGCCCTGCTAGAAAACTTACTCACCTTTATGGCCTTTCCAGCTATTACATAAGACATGTTTGTTCGTTTGCTGCTTGAGAATACTACGATTCAACTCACAACGTCTGTAATCTGTGACTTGAGTGGTCCGAAGGGAGCAAGGTCCGAAACGCCGATTAATCCCGAATGAGGCGGGATTCCTTCCCTAACGAACCTTCCTACACTCCCTCCTCACCTTCATGCACCATCTTCAAAGTACAAATACCCCCCTCTATACAATGTTCTCGGCCATACGTACCTTCCTGCGACCATCTTCTATAGCAACATCATCTAGAGCTACATTACCCTCAACTTCTTCCTCAATGGGAAACCAAGTCAGGTTCAGAGGTCAATTAGCGCCAAAAAAGACGAAATATAAAAAGGCTCAAAAAGGTTTACCAGGTGTACCTACCGTATGTCCCCTCATTACCTTCTTTCCTCATTTCCTCGTCTTCCCATGAAATACTAGATCATACTCCCTGGAGTTATTGAACTGCGATTATGATGATCATTCGGTGTTAGGGACATTTTGTTATCTCGGCGAGTAATCTGTTACAAAACAGGAATCGCAGAAGATAGTCAATGTTTGAAGGGAGAATCAAAAGTAGTCTCAGGTATCGTTTAGAGACTAACAAACAGGGAGGTTCACTAAAAGGTACAACATTAGAACATGGTTCTTTCGGTATTCGTATCCTAGCTTCGACACGTATAACCGCCGCTCAATTAGGTGCAGCTCAAGCAGCTTTGAAAAGAAAGATCAAACCTGTCAAAGGTGCCGAAGTGTATTTAAGAGTTTTCCCCGATACTCCAGTTTGTGTCAAGGGTAACGAAACGAGGATGGGGAAGGGAAAGGGTACTTTTGAATATTGGGCTTGTAGGGTTCCTGTCGGAAGAGTTATCTTTGAAATTGGAGGTGGGGGTATAAGGGAGGAAATAGCGAGGCAAGGTGAGTTCTTCTTATTCTTTCATTTGATTTTCTCATATGACTTCTCACGTGGTATCAAAACGAATCGTCGAACTCATGAACAGCTCTTAAACTCGCTCAAGTCAAATTACCAGTTCAAAGCGAATTTATAAACCTCTCTTCTCCTCCTCGATTAGGAAACATAGCTTCAGCATCTCTCTTACCACCGACATACGCTCAAGCCGTCCCTGCTTTGTTGGCTGAAATGGACGCTAAAGACAGAGGAGGAGCGAGGGATGTGGTGATGACTCGTGAGGCGTTAGAAATGGATAGAATGGAGTTGTTGAATATTGCATAGTTATTTGCATCAAGGTATGCACATGATTCAATCATTCTCTGAAACAAACATCTGCTTCTCAAAACCTCATGGAAATTGACTGGTCTTACGATCGATACGGTGAACATGGAAATAACATCTTTCCTGAGGATTGGGGGATTGCGTCTTAGAAATCAAATCCGCACATCCGACCAGTATAGGGTTTACGCTGCTTATCCAACTAATTATCAGCGACATATTCCTCTACTTGGATCGTGAGTCAGAAAAAGGAGAAATGGACCAGAAAGACGAGTAACAAGGTGGCGCTTGGAAGGCATTGGTGAACAATGATCACTCAATGCTAAAAACATGCTCATCTATTATCATGATATCATCATTCATTTGATTCATCATCACTTCATCATCTTTGTGGTTCACCTGTCTCGAGTTGTCATCCAGCTGACATTGACATAGCTCACTGATTCAGACCATATTGCGAGTTACTCCTCTGTACACTCAGCTTCTCTATATTGGCTTCAAGCTGATCGATATATTTTATGGTCCCATCCCTCCATTTTTGTGAAGGCCGATTACATTCACCCCACGAACGCAATTCTTCTTTTGCAGTATCATGCTCCTTCAACAAACCTCTCTCAAATCCCACCAAATGGGTAACGTATCCAAGGAGCGTACCGACGTGGTCCGTTATCCCATGCACTTCATTGAGCAAAGAGTTCATTTCTCCTCCTTCACCCGCAGATCTTTCCATCAAGTTTTGTATCATTGTCGGATCTAACAATTGCCTAGTGAGATTAATAGCTTCACACACCACCTGTTTTCCGTAATTCAACAAATCTAAATCATCAATCAGCTAGAGTATATATATTTTTTCATTTGAAAACGATTTCCTCTCACCCTTGTCATCATCTCCGAGATCATCCCAAATCGATGTATATGTAAACTCTTCTTCACGTCCTTGGGCAAGTGAATCGGGGTCCAATATCCATTTATTAGGTTTTTTGAATATTCCCTCAAGATGATTAAGAATGTTAGTGGAAAGTTCTTCATCCACTTCGTATGCTCTCAACGAATATTGGGCTGACGGAATAATTGGCTGAGTTTTCACTATGAAATCTTTCAAATCTGATATGGCTAACGCTTGTGGATGAAAAAACAGTCAATTCTCCATTGTTGATGTTGCTAAAATCTGTCAAGAGGTTTTTCCATTCCACAACATTACGTCTCGTTTGAAACCCATTGAAGTTGGTCATTGACCCTCTGTTTGGAGCTTGATCAAGCTCTTGGGGAACTAGCAAGCGGGAAACTGTTTGTAATACGGACAATGTGCAAAGAGCCGCTTGGGACAACATTTCTATCTCTTAGCTTTATCATGTTGGGCATGTTGATATCATTTCAGGCAAAGCGCAGGATAACCAGAAGATGAGAAGACACCCAGAAGGAGAGAGGTGGAGGGTACCCCGGGGATATGATACTTTCATCACGCACCTACTTTTCCTTAGTCCGGGTTGATGCAGGGACGACCTGATGTGTTTGGTTATCACTAGACTCTCCGCCTTTTTCGCCGAAAGTAAGACGATAAGTTGGATCAGAGCTAGATCCGGCATCAGAGACAGAACCGGGTTGTTCATACCTTGCCCTGTACACGCTGGATGGGTAGGCAAAGTCGGTGACTTCAATATTTTTATGATCTATGTATGACATCTTGTCTTGGAAGATACTTACACTGTCTCAAATTAGCAAGAGTGTTGTTCAATGTTGTGCCGTTGAGATATTGCTGTTCAGAAGCGAATTGTGCACAGGGTTGTTGAAAGAGGTATCACCAGAAGATCGGTGTTGTTATATACAGAGGGGGATTGACAGATCTCTTCAAAAGAGACCGGCAGAGATGTTTGTGGGCCCTTTGCCCAAAAAAAGAAAGGATCGTCCGCCCTACATGTCAGACGAAGTAAAGGAAGAAGTGTTGACATCATCGTCAATCATTTGGGCGTAATATCATCGCCACTGTAAGAAGGGATGAGTGTAAATGGAAGCATGTGACGGGCATGAACGGCTCCTTTGCTTAATGAGACAAGTGTCATCTCTCAAGTAATAAGTCGTATGCCGGGCTGTTCATAGGTGAGTCAAAAGTCAGAAGTCCGCAATGCCAACTCCAACATGATAGCATCGTTCATTTGATTCATCATCACCTCATCATCTTTGTGGTTCACCTGTCTCGAGATTGTTATCCTGCTGAGATTGGTGTAGCTCAATCTTTCAGACAGTTGCCGAGTCTTCCGATGTAGTCTGTACTCCCATTTGCTTTGTACAGTCTTCAAGCTGCTTGATGCACTTTGTGATGTCCGTTCTCCATCTTTGTGTAGGCCACCTCCAATCACCCGTGGATTTGAGTCGAGACTTGGCAGTTTCACGCTCCTCCACCGCATGCCTATCACGTCGTAGCACAATACTTGCCGATCGAATAACGTTGAGGACTTGGGCTGTCATCTTATTCAAATAATTGAACAAAGAATCAAGCTTTTCCTCATGCATGGACCTGTTCATCAAGTCTTGTATTATTGTCGGATTCAACATTTGCCTGGTACGTTTCATAGCTTCACTCACTGCCGTTTTTCCAGAGTTAAGCAATTCTACAATTTCAGTCCAACAGAGTATATTTCACAGGATTTTCACTCACGTTTATCATTCTCCTCGAGTTCGTTCCAGAACAATGGGTAATCTTCTTCTTCTTCTCCCTCATTTCCTTGGGTTAGACTACCAGAAAAGATCATGAATCGGATTGGTTCTTCCAACAGTTTCTTGAAGCGAATTTGTCTGTCTCCAGGAATCCCACTGGCCCTGTCGATAATCTCACGAGTCGTTGCTAAGAACTCATCTAAATCGTCCACGGCCGTGGCCTGAGGACGAAAAACAAAAGAATCTTTTGTTACATTGGTGTCGCTCACATCTGTCAATAGTTCTTTCCATAGGTCAATATTACGTCTCGTTTCAAAACCATTGAAGTTGGTGATTGACCCTTTATTCAGAGGTGGATTAAAGTCGGGGTTTAGCAGTAGAGACATGGTGTGCAAAACGGACAGTGTATAACGAATGGCTTGGGGGATGACTTCTATCTTATCAGCTTCACTCATGTTTGGCACTCTGTTGGAAAATTCGAGCAGATGAAAGACAGAGTGAAGATATAGAGACATGAAGAGCGGGTAAGCAAAAACAGGGAAGAAAAAAAGTGGAATATCTAAAAAGGGACAGATTTAAGGAAACGACTGACCTGTACTCTCTCTAGCCCATGACAATACATCCTGGGACGCCTCATATCCTTGCTCAAGCTGTTTCTCGGTATCCTCTCCCGAGTCAGAGACAGGAGCGTAATCAGATCCATGTACATATCCAGAGTCAACACCATAAGCAGCCTGTCTCACTTTCGCCTGGTAGATGCTGGATAGATAGGCAAAATCGATAACGTCTACACCGTCGGATCTTGTGTACGGCATCTAGTCTTGGTGAGTGGTCGTACTATCTTGGTCGAAAAGTAATTGTCAAAGTCGTGTCTTGAAATGTCACCGTCCGAAGACTAGTTGTGTTCAAAGCTGTTTAGAAAGGTATTGCAAAGAAATCGATATGATGAAATGATCACAGGTGAATCACGAGTTATATACGGAGAGTCAGCCTGAGACTTTCGTAGTCATCCCCATTCAGGAAGAAAGGATCGTTAGTCGCAAAAGTCAGACAACGTAAAGGATGTGAGAGTTGACATCATCATTAACCATCTGCTCTCAAACGAGGAAGGCTTCATATCATTGTCAAGAAAGGATGAGTATATATGAACGCGTAAGTAAGGGGGCTCTCCTTTGGCCAATGAGAGAAGTGTCATCTCTCGAGTTACAAGTCGTATGTCAGGCTGTTGATCAGTGTGTCAACAGTCAGAAGTCCGCATTGTCAACTCATATCACAAAGCGACTTACGAAGTACAACAACACTTCCTGCCTTGATGCCACTCAAAATGCTATACTCGTTTCGATTGTCCATGACTCCCACATGTGATCTAGTCCGGTCCATCCGGCAATTGTTTCTCATACAGCTTCAACAATCTATATATCAGTAAACGCCATAACACATGACGAACAACTCACAGATCCATACCCTCCTCTAATTGTAACGTGACGATACGATGACTTAACGACGGTAATTCCGCCGACATGGCTTTTAATCTCGGTACCAATCTCGCCGCTTCCGTCGTTGCCTCTCCTAACAACTTGAACCTTGGAATGGGAATTTTATTCGCTTGATCTCCACCACGTCGACGGTACACCAACTCAGGTACAGGTTCCACCAGAGGAGCATGCTTATCAGGCATGGGAAGTGATAAGGATCTACCAGGACCTTTGGAACCGAATTCCCTCGACTGTTTTTGAGTTCGAAGATCCGTATCGAGCTTCTTGAATCCTTGATATGCGGATTCGAGAAAGTTGGGTAATATGGCGAAATCACCATCCGTATCTCCCCATGTCAAGTCAAAGTCAAATTCCAAAGTCGGTGGTGAGGGGAGTTCAACGGAAGTCATGGTCAGAGTCTGATCATAAGGGTCTGTCAAACAAAAAAGGAAAAATGGGACTCACCATAAGTGGAAGAGATGCAACTTCACGTCTACCTTGTCTCATAGCTCGGTCGATAAGTTGTTTCGCCGTCATATCCGGTTTCTCAAACTTCGCAGCTCGTTGACCATCACTCGTATCCCATCTGACATATGTGACCAGTAAACTGAGTTTTCGTTCTGGGAAATGCTCCTTTGTCCACTCTCTTTTGAGATCGGCTTGTACTTGTCCAACGAGGAAACGATAAAAGTCTGCAACATGTCCATCATCCAGATCTTCGTTGAAGACTCCAATGTCAATTCCTTTCAGATCAAAACGCATCGTTTGGGATGTTTTTATATGTGTAGTCGTATTTGAGCTGAGTCCCGCGCGACGGGCAGTTTGGGCAATGGCAGCGGTCACAGGAGCTGGTTCAGTATTCTTTCGTTGCTCTCGAGATTTAAATTCTGCCGAACGTTGAATAGCGATGTTGTTTTGTCGCTCGACAGTATCGAAAATACGGTAAAATAATCCTAACAATCGAGGCAGTTCGAGGAGACGTAAGACACCTTGTAATTGACCAGCCGCAACAACAAATGCTAGATCGACTTGAGCTTGATGATCCGTCATGAAAGCTTTCCAATCATCCGAAAGAGTGACAGTGGAAGGTGCCAAATGCAATCTCACAATATTCTTCTTATCCAGAGACATATTCGCGGACAAATCGCCTCCCTCAATACTCATTGCCAGAACGGTAGCCTTAGAGTAATCACTTGCTCTTGATGATCTTCGGACTGTGTTGAAGGATAAACGTTCACTCCGCACATCACCCGAGATATCCCCAGTGGCAATGATTTCCGTCACACCCACGTGTATATCGAGTTCTAGTTGTTCTCCGTTGGACAAGGAGCGTATAACAATGGGTGTCATTTGCAGCTTGGCACGAGATACAACGATATCTGCGTCGAATGTGACACTTCTGAATCTGAACAACGCGGCGATGGGTAGTTTGGGTGGAGTTGGCATGAAATTAATAGGAGCGACAGGTTCCACGGGTGCTTGTCCGAGCTTCTTGAGTCCAGGTATGTTGTCGATCCAGACTGCTGTGAAAATGAGGAACACGCTGTATGCGTCTAGACGGAATTGGGATGAGACTTCTGTATCGAATACAATAGATAGTCCTGGTGGGTGTAGAGATGTTGAACGGGTATATGAGAGGGAAAAGGCCATGTCCTTCGCACTGGCGACCATACAGCTCCGACCAGGAGCCGCATAGATATGACTGAGTTCCGAGGTCACTCCAGATACGGAACCAGCCACTGTCATGATTTCTGAACCACCCAACGTGGTACTGGCCATGAACCCTCCAGAATCCCATCGAACCGCCAAAAAGGCATCAGAATCGGGCTCACATGAAAATCGAAGGGTCGACTTGTCGATACGCAATGTCACGCTAACTCGGATCCTTTCCGAGCCAGATCTAGATGATAAAATGGTCAGTGAACCTGGAGTTGCGTGAGGAACACGTTGTGCCGGCGTTGCCGGTCTTGTTTGGAGTATTGGCGTACTTCTGGAAGCGGGCATTTCAGGTCGATTCGGTTCGGACTGAGCTACGACTGCTGTTTGACTAATTGATGTGGTCGGCATCTCAGGTCGACTTGTTTCTTGTCGTACCCGTCGACGAGAAGCCTTAGGCCGACGTTCGATACGTTCTTGTAGATCGATAAAGAATGGTAAAATGGATGGACGTAGAGTATTTTCACTCTCATGCACAGCCTTAAGTCATCAGTTGTCTCCTTGTATTAGATTGGGATGATTGACTCACCATGTTGAAGACGAGAACACCGGCATCCTCCTCGTGTTCACTACCTTGCGAGTGATCATCTGCTCCGGCATAATCAACCCATGCAGAGACACTGGGCAATGTAAATGTATCCCGACTCTCCGTCCGTCTACCCCGGAAATCGTCCAACACATCATGTGTCGACCTTCTAGAGGGCAATCGTTTGAAGATCACCACCCCGGAGTTAAACACGAAAGACAACCGAATAACCACTCGTTGTTGTCGGCTGGTAGTTGGGGATCTTTGGTCTTCATACTTGTTGACCACTGATTCCAAAGCATTATTCCGGACAAGCTCAGAACGGTATTGCTTTTCAATCTCAGCAATGCGATGCTTGCCTTGTTCGTACAGATCGATGAGCTTAAAAACTCCATCGGCAACAGTTGGCGCTAGGGAGAGTTTGAAGTTAGTTGCAGTGGAATGAGCGAAGACGGTCCATTGATCAGCTGAAGTGGACATTTGTGCTTCACTGATGATGGAAGGTAAGGTCATATGGTTGTCTCCCGTTCCTGTACCCTGTTCGAAATGTTCTGTCTTACTTTGATCGAACCTGCCATATCAGCCGAGATTATTTCTCCTACCAAAAAGACATACCTGTCCACAAACTGTAAAGCCATATCCTGCATTTGAAAACGGGCTGTCTCATTACGCTTGTTACTGAATTCGACAGACCCGACGGAGAAAAGTAGGGCGGGGACGGATGTACCTCTGATGGTTTGCAGATCGATAGTCGTTTCGTCCACCAGTGGTACTGCAATGCCGAAACCTTTCACTCGGACTCGTAACCATCTCGTGGAGAACCAACTTGCGACAGTTTTAGTCTCTTTCTCGGGTGATTCAAACTTCTTCAAGATTTGAGTGGTTTGCTTCTTGACCTCTTGTACTTGTTCGCCCCTGTGATCGTATAACACATGAATGTCGGACGACCAACTTTGAATAAGATCTGCCATCTCACTAAGCGCCGCGACGTGCATGACCGTGTGAATTTGTCGAAGGTTGACAGTAAGACGGGAAGCTCGGACGGAACCATCTGGATGCTCCTCGACATCCATGTCGCAGACCAAATACGCTGAGCGATATTTGCGCATTGGTTGTTCGGATTCGGACAATGCTTCATGACCCAAATGACCCAGGGATAACCCAAGATGCTTGATTTTAGCTCCCCAACGGAGATCGATATCTGCTCCAGTAACGTTCGACGCGGTACCCTCGAGATTGAGCGCTTCAAAGAGAAGAGTAGTTGTTACGTCATCAGCTCGTAATCCAAAGCGGATCCCAGAGACAGCGATTCGTAGATCTAAACGCAGCCTATAAGGTTGAGCATCGGCATTCGTTAGCTGATCTGGTGATGGAGGACTAGGGAACATCTTTTGTATCGTCTCCTGGTATTGCTGTACAACTTTCACCATCTCTTCCGCAAGACGATGGTGGAGGGAAAGTAGACGATCGAGAATAGCAGGCTTGAGTATACCCGTGAAAAACCCAACATTGATGATTGTGGTAAGTGTTGGCTCGGTGCCAGTTCTGTACTCCCCTGTCATGTTGAGCGCAGGTAAACGAAGAGCGGACGAGTCTTGCTTCTTCGATTTCGTCTTCTTTCCTGTGGTAGCCTTCGTGAGATTTTCTTCTAAGTACGCCCCGACAATTTGAGGTTCCAGCTTGATGCCAAAACGATGTCGACCTTCCACATTCTCCTCATTGACGTATAGTTTACCAATTTCCCATCTGAGATACAATTTCTGTGCCGCCCTGATTTGTATATGCGCCGAGCCGAGTGAAAGGTCAATCACGGTCAGCGGTCTTTCACTAGACGGTGGTGATATCCTAGTGCTACGTGACCGAAATAGCGATATCAAGTCTTCGATAGCTGGTTGGAAATGTGGGTAATGTTCTTCTTTCCAATTCGTGGCGAAATCAATAAAGTTCATGGGTAAAGGGCGTGACTGTATGTCAAGATGCTTGGCTCCGAGAATGCATCGCTGCGTTGCCCTACCCGGGGCGTAATGTTGATCCGTCACATAGGACAAGTCATCGGCATGAACCAAGATCGCCAATCGATCTTGGGGCGATAATTCTAGCTCATGTCCTCGAGTGGGTTGAAGCAAAGCCGCATCAATAACGCCTAGAAGAAGATGGATGGTCTTTTGTGCGGATTTAACCGGATTACCTTGATCAATCGCGACGTTCTTGCTGCCTGTCATTCTCGACTGAACGTTGGAAAACACCGTACGCAGACGAACACCACCTCCTACGATGTTGAGAGTGGCATTACCCAGGTCCAAATTGATAGCGAAGGCCAATGGGTCGTTGGAGTCAGACGTAGTGGCGGACTGCGACTCATCCTGACGTTGGTCGTCGGGGGTGGTTACAGGCTTGATGGTCGACGACACGATCCGATGGAGTGCAAAAAGGAGACTGTTGTAAGCCCGTACATCTAAGTCTTTTATAGCGCAAAGCATGCGAAGATGTTTCACCCGTCGTTCATTCCTGAACACCATGCTCTTCGCCCATCCGAGCGACGTGGTCCCAACGACAATAGAGCTGGTAACGATGCGAGGCGACTCGAGTAACCGTCCATGATGTTGTACGACGACGGAGTTGAGATACAGAAATATGGCGAAAGAGGGATGAATTTCATTATTCTGGTCTTCATTGTCACCGTCGTCACCAAATGCCTTCTTCATAAAGTCTAATTGACGGACAACTCGAGCAACGCCACCAGTGTCGTAATCCAGCGTGGCAAGTTCCTGCGACACAAAACTCGCCATTTGGTCCGAGGTGAGATCGGTGGAAGACATGACCATAGGGCAGGTTTTCAACCAGTGTCGAAGACGGGCAAGCATGTTCCATCCAAGGTCTCGACGAATGTTACGTTGATCGTTGGTGTGCAGACCGTAGGTACCCTCTGTCATAAAGTCCGGAATAGACGCTTCGTCGCTTTGCTGCATCGCCGAGACCACGATGTCGTACAGTAGTTTCGGAATGCTCGACGAGCAAGTTGCCCGAGGACAATCGTTTAGTGCCTCTTCCCAATGGTGTATAGCCCTAGTCACAACTCCGACGACAGGAGTGACAGTTTGAATATCGGCGGTGTCGATTGAGACGTCCGCTTCGACATGCTTGTCTTTTTGTTGCGTCCTGAACCGAGTATTTTTGCATAGTAATCGTAAAAGCGGCCAACCTCCTTGTGGAAGAATGAGAGGCTTTGGTGCATCTCGAAGAGAGATCTTGGGTTGTTCAAAGGTCGTGACGAGTACCTCGGCGCGTCTAACAGAAGTTGAAACAGATATGACTGACTTGTCACTTTCCACAGTTGGTTCATTCCGAATTCTAGCAGTGAAGCCATCAAAGCTGAGATCGGCAATCGCGACATTTTTACCTTCCGCTGAAGCTTGTATACGAGCCGAGTTGATCTGAAGGTCAAACAATTTAGGTTCGGGAATACGTCCTGTCTTCTCGATGGACTCTGCATGTTCTCTGAGCAGATAGTCAAGTAGCAACTCGGGTCGAGGTATCTATCATCGTCAATCAAAGAATCAAGCTAAAGTGCGGACTCACTTCTCTGTTCATATCAGCCGCGACCGCAGATAAGGCTGCAAAAACTCCAGGTTGCAGATCCACAGTGACAATCGGCAATTTGATGACCATAACGACTCCATGAACCAAATCAGCGGGTTGTTGAGGTAGAGGAGTTGTTGACTCTGACGGTAGCTTAAACGCACTAGGACGCAGGGATCGTAGACTCTTGAATAGTCTGATACTGCCTGCCAGAGCTGAAGCCATGTCATACATATTGTTCTGTCCTTCCGAAGCGGAGGCATCAGCACTTGATTCCAACGAGGTGTCCGATTCTTCGCTTGCGGAGATCACCTCCTTCTCTTGCATCGTTGCAATCGATCTTGATCTCCGTCGGAGGTGTTGAGGGGCGTTGTATGACGGATCATCCGCATCTGAATCCTCCGGTGATGATGCCCGTTCGTCCTGAGATATTTGTAGGGATGGAAGTGTGGACAGATCATCGATTTCAGTCTCGTCGTCTTCATCATCAAAGTAATTAGGAACGGGTAGGTAAACCCCATGGACGTGATGTCCGGTGGTCTTGATCACTTCGTCACTGTACAAATAGCAAATACGTTTTGTCAAAGCGTCCTGTTCTCTGATGAATGCTTGTTGTTTCTGCGCTGCTTCTTGCCATCCATCAGGAGCTCGATATAGATCCAATGTCAACGCTGTGCTTGCTTGAGCAACAGGGAGCCATTTTTGTGCTGTGGGTTGTCGAGTGAGCAGGCTGACTTCGACCTCTGGAAGGACTAATCCGAGTGTAGATTTACAAGTCCTGGTCGCCCAAGTACTCGTGTCGAGATTGACACCGGCAGGAAGTTCGACGGTCGCGATGGCATTATTGACGAATAGAGCCATGTTGGTTTGATCGATTGAAAGTTTGAAGAAAGTCACATCGGGTGCGCTCTTCTGGATGTAGACTTCGGTAGGGGCGTTGTCCACGTCCTCAAAGTTGTAGAGGAGAGCTTGAACAGCGATTCCAATTGTTTTGGCCATCTCTGGCGAAACGAATGCAGATATTCGAGGTAAGACCGCCTCCCATAGACATAGATACGTGGTCGCCCTTGGTTGAGGTCCGAACAAACGAGTCGCTTTGAGCGTGATGCCCTCGATGAAAATCACTTCCTTCGAATTGACTATCGAGACCTTGCCATATGAGTAAGCGGGTGTGAAGTCGTCTAGAGGGACGATATACGTCGGGAGGGCGTCCAATGATAACTCCATGAAATGTTCGATGGACTTGAGATTCATTTGCAGTTGCGGTACAGGCATCGCTAAGCCCCTGGTACAGCCATAGATCTCGTCCGGGAGAAGGATGAGTGAATCCTCAATGTTCATAGTCACGAATACGGCATACGGGTCGGATCTACCAGGACGATATTTCTCCTCCACTGGATCGCCGACGGAATTGGGATCATGATCGAAGCGTTCGAGGAATTCGTTGAGGTTTGAATATTGAGTGAACCCTCCAAAATAATTATCTTTGATACAGAACAGTCTACGCAAGACCCATCCCATAGATTTGAAGATCACTTGACTACCTTCAAGATGGAGAGTCATAGTTTCTTGATGTTCCGGACTAGGTACCGAATAGTAACGATAAGAACCAGATGCCTTTAAATGACCAATTTTGCCAATCTCTATAGGATCCGGAGAATCGAAAGAACGATGAGTGTCCCAAGTCGGTAATCCCAGTTCCACTCTGGCATCGGATAAGTCGACGGTGAAAGGCACAGTCGAGAATTCTGGTCGATATTGTGTGGCCGCAACAGCGATGTAGGATTCGAGTCGAGGTCCATAAACATCCATGAAAGCGTTACCATCTCGAGATTTAGGATCGTCTACTATATTGAAATCATTTACGAATAAATGAAAACAGTAGTCGAGGAGAATGACACGGAAGTTGTAGTGATTGGGTACGAAATGATGGAAGTCACCTGTAGCTCCAGAACTCCAATCGCGTGCGAGATCCGAGATTAAAGTGGTATGATCACGAAGAAGGGTTATGGTGGGTGACTCGACTGCGACATCAAGACCCCAATCACGTTGAGCGTCCCAGCGAAGAGGAGTGGGCATTGTCATTGATAACTGTCAAGTCAATCATCACTCTGTGACATAAAGGAGAGAAAAACTGACTCGGCATGATTTGGCGTTGATGAAACTTTGATATGCTACACTAGAAGAGATATCTAGAGAATCGAGATTGAGAACTAACATGGCATCGTATCCATGAGTGGTGGCGAATTGTGATTGAGTGTATATGATGGAAGAGTTTGCCCCAGCAGTGATTTCCAACCATCCATATTTTCTTTCCACTTTTCCAAGTCCATCAAATTGCCAATCTTTGGAAGGTTCTCTGGTAGGAAGTATGAGCTTTGTATCCCTCTCCAAGAATATATTGAGTACCAGTGCTGAATGTATTCGAGTTTCTCCAAATTTCAATCGAGGTTTAGGTTCCGAATCGAAGAAGATAGATGGAGCGAAAGCTTTTTGTAAAGCATCTCTCTGTCTATCTGCCCAAGGACCATAAGTCACATCTCCTCCATAAATAGTTATATCAATCCCATATTCTGGAGGTAAATCGACATTACCTAATTCATCGTGTTTATCAGGTTCAATAATCTCCTCGGGTCTAGGAACGGGACCAGGAGCGTCCGAATAATACAATACGTCCACTCTATCAGAAACGAGTAGAGTGGTTTTCTTCGCATATTCTCGATCTTCTCTTTTGGGAGTTTTGGGAGTTGTCATGTCTGGTTCTCGATATCTAGCTAAACCTCTCCATATTCGATCTTGTGGTAAACCAAGAACAGGGGGTGTTGAAAATTTAGGATTGTATAAGAATGAAAATTTCTTAGCGAGGGTGTGAAAACCTGGGAAAGTGGAAATGGAGGAAGGAGGTTGTTTTGCTATATCTCGATCTTGTTTTAATAATTCGTCGTAGGCTTTTCGACCATGAGCTAAAAGAGGTCCAGAGTAATCGACATTGGTTCTCATGAGTACATGAGGTTTTTCAAAACTCATATCCATTTCCAATTTGTACAAATCGCAAATGGATCGAGACTTATCATCAACATTATTTCATTATTTAAATATCTTGACTCACTTCTGTAACGTTCAGAGTACCTTGAGCCTTTTTGAAGTCCGCGATGAGTACCATGGGTGTAGCATCAGAACCCAATACGAGAGATCCTGTACTGATACGTATATCCATTGGTAAAGCTTCGCAGAACCAGTCTACTCCATCCTTCGTTGGTTTGTTCATCGGTTTTATGGTGTAAGGAAGATCATGTGCGGCACCTAATGGTCGATGATCATCTGTGGGATTGTTGACATTCCTATCACCAGGGACACTACCAGTCTTGTGGAGGTTATTGGAAGAAGGGAAAGAGCTAGTGTGAGAAGTGGTTTTTGCAACTTTTCGAAGTCGCGAACGAGAACGTTCATTTTCCTGAGTGTTCGTCCTTAAAGTCTCTTCGGAGACACCACTAAATTCTTTACTCTCCCTCTCGTGTTTCTTCATACGTTCCACAATGGCGTCATAAGCGGGAGTACGGTTGAAGACGAACGCTTCCAAGCCTTCAGCTGTGATAGCGATTCTACAAGGTAATTTGGCTTATACTGTCAGCTGAGGATAAAAGAAGGGTAGTAAGAGGACTGACCGCGCTTGGGATGATCACTCTTCGCATCGTTACTCTGTCTAACACGCAAAAGCCAATACCGCCAGGTGATATGACCGTGAAGTGCTCGGACACTGAGATTGCTGGAATGATATTCGACATCTCTGAAAGCTATTCTACCGGCAAGCGGAGAGACCTGCAGACTTCCGATGACGATGTAAGCGTGGTAAACGCGCCATGTGAAGAGACGGACCGCCCAGGCGACGAGCCAGCCAAGAAGACGATTCCAGTAGAAGAGGAAGGCAGCGGAGACGATGACGATAACGACGAGTGACACCAACAAGAGCCAGTTGATTGGATCGGCCATGGTGGTTGTGTCTGTCAAGACAGCATGCTGCTCGTTGTGAAATGCTAGCCCGATAGTGTTGGAGATAGAAAGTCGGTATGGTTCACTGGCCTAAGCATGTTGTTCGTCAGACACAATATTGAACTCAGGACGATACAAGCAACGTGTGCAACCAACACCGACGATGCCACTAACAAAAGGTATGTTCCGAGTCGGGGGGTCGAACCCCGATCTACCGCGTGAGAGGCGGTTATACTGAGCCGTTATACTAACTCGGACGTGTAGTAGCCTTTGTCGTACTACATATATGTTCAGTGTAGAATGCACGAATACCCATACATCGTTTGGCATAACCTTGCCAGTTGCATACCCTTCCCTTTCCTCACAGTACCTAATGCAAGGTCTACACCTCTCCCTAGAGTCTGCGACACTCGATCTGATAGCAGGTAAACGTCCAGTGGTAGCTATACACCCTGATGGAACAATCGAATATGAGCCAGCGTGGGTTCCTCCCAGGGTCCTTGGCCCAACCATGGCAGCTGACAACCTAGTCATGTTCCTACTTCCGAGCTAGGCAGGAACATCGAGAGAATATGGAACGAATATCCTTCTGGATTTCTCAACATTGACGAGACTTATCATGCTGGTCTATCACCCGATGCAACTGCCGTGGAAGATGAGCTTGTGGATGAGAAAATAGAGGAGAAAGGTCAGGGGGGGATGATGACCCATGAAGAAATGTCAGATCTACGTACTCATGTGTATAGTCAAATCAAGTGAGTTAATTCCAAATTTCACTTCGTTGATCGTTAAACTCATTTCAGTGATGCGAGAAACGAATTATGGTTTCTTCTAGAATTGTCGAAAACTCTTAGTCAATCCGGATCATTCACTTCCAACCCTCCTCTCCTCGCTGGAGAGACTTTCCATCGTCATCCACGACAACAACCTAAGAAGTCTGACGTCACATCTGTTTCCAATGCTCTGACGACGGCGGTATCGATGAATCAGGGAGAACCACCTGTATTACCCCCAGGAACATATACGACCACCCCAGGTCTCGCCGTTTCACCACCGGAATGGAAGACAGTATCAGAACTTGAAAAAGCAATCTTGGCGAGACATAAAGCTGTTGAAGAATGTTCAAACATGATTGATTCCGTAGTGGAAGAAATGAGAAGTATCTCTGATGCTGGTGATCGATTCTGGAGAGATATACGTCAGTTGCGGGATGGTAAGCAAGGGAGAGGAAGATGGGCTATTGTTCCTAAACCTGACTTCGGTAAGACTATGGCTGTAGGAGAGACAGCGAGGGATGTGGTAATTCCATATGCTGTTGACGAAGGTGGGTTCGCTCAATATGGTATGGTCGGAGCTCATGGGATAGCTCCATTGGCACAACGGGCGCGGTGCTTGGCCGCTTTTGATCTGGATCCTGAAAAGCAGGATGCGTTAACTTTTGGATCGAGAAAAAATATGCGACTCAAGACAACTGTTAGAGATACTCTAGGAGAGGCGTCTTCCTCTACAGGTACATTCACGAGTGAGGATGTTCATGGGGTAATGGACGAGGTACAGATGGAGGCGTTCGACGAGGACGTCTTCAATGAGGTGAGTTCTATTCTTGGAAATGCGAAGGCTAGGCTGATCCAGCAGATCCGTTTGGAAGCTCTCAGAGATCCACAGTGCACCGTAGAATCGAACGGAATACAAGTCAAAGCTGGAGATGCGGAACTGATCTTTGAACTGGTTCGTTTTATGGTTTCATATGATGTGGTCTGACGAGACAGTACGATACCCGGCATTCACGACCCAAGACTGTCACATCACCCCAAGCGGATTTATTGCTTCACGGAGCTCGTTTGTCTCTGCTACAACTCTATCGACACCGCAAACGCCAGCTTATCGCTCCCACCATTCCTCCTCCCAGACCTACGTCCATTTTACAACCTCTAATCGACATGATCACGTTTCAACAATCCTGTACGACAGTCTTGTCAACACTTGAAATGTTAGCTGCACCCTTGAACAAGGCGGGGTTCACTGCGGGCATCATCACCCGACACGCGGTTGGTGATCCCTCAGCTGGGATAGTTGAGAGATTACTTCTAGATGGCGGGCAGCTTAAAGATGTCGGGACAGTATACAGTCTGGACTTGGACGGAGGGTGAGTCGTGTATTGCACTTCGTAGCAGATGAAAGTGCTGACAGTCAGTCATGGTATTTCGGTAAACATCACGGCTCCTACCATTGTGACGGTCACCACTTCATCTGCCACCTTTCCTCTTACCAACCTAGAAGATCTTGCTTCTATTCTAGCGGAAGATCTTCAAGATCAATTACCTTTGATAGCTGGCGATTCTCTAGCGGAGTGGTCTCAAGAAGACGGATCACCGGGCGGGTTCTTTGATTCTTTAGAAGGATTATTGGTAATTCCACCAGAAGTGAACATACAAATCTCTTTCTCACCCCCTTTCAAGGCTGTGGAAGCGGAAGCGAGTGGACCTATAGGAAGTGATATCTCCACCGTTTACCCTGGGGAACGAGATGTGAGGTTGATGGATTGGATACGGAATATAGCCATGACAGTTGGATGAGACATGCAAATGTGGTCAATGACGAACATGTTTCCGGTTAACTTACTCACTTTGCCGGCAAAGAGATCTCAACTCTGCAACCACCTCGTCTCTCTTTCTTTCTTTCTTTCTTTCTTCTTCTCATCTCCCTCATAACCTGATACACAAACATGACATCTACCATACAGAGCATTGCCAACGCTATCCCTTCCTTGGGAAGAGCTAGGCTGCTTATCAATTCTGCAGACGATGTGGTCATCGTTTCAGCCGTCAGGACGGCAATCACCAAGGTGGGCATTGGTTCCTTTCAAATATCACCGTCCCCTAACCATACAACACAGACACCGGCGCATCGCAACTCGTCTCATGACAGTATCATATAGTATTCTTTCAATCTAACTATCAGGCAAAGAAGGGAGGTTTCAAAGATTGTCTCCCTGAAGACCTACTCGCAGCCGTGTTGAAAGAGACTTTGAAAAGAAGTAAGATTGATCCTGCCAAGATTGAGTAAGCATTTTTCTCGTCACTACTACCCTATTCATTGATCCCTCGGACATCTGATGTTATATCTGGTAGCTGAAATTGACCATCAGGGATATTGCCGTTGGGAATGTCCTTCCACCTGGAGGAGGAGCAAACGTAGCTCGTATGGCTCAGCTCTACGCCGGGATCCCATATACGTGAGTGATTTTTGTCTAGGAGTTACCAGATACCGACGATTAGTACACCCATCAATACTGTCAATCGACAATGCTCCTCCGGTTTGACGGCTGTCGCCCAGGTGAGTCAGCATATACAGTACGGATGAAAGATACAAACTGATATGTCAGATCGCTAATGAAATCAAATCTGGTGAGATCGACATTGGAATCGGTAAGTTTATTCACCTTGAGAATACCCATTCTAGAGACAATCTACGTCATCTTGTTGAGATTATGATGCTGACTCACAGGCGCTGGAGTAGAACATATGACCGCCAACTATGGCGCTGGAGTACTGCCTGAAAGGATGTCGGATGAAGTTCTTTCCAACCCTGAAGCAGCGGATTGTCTCGTTCCAATGGGTATCACCAGTGAGAACGTTGCCAAGCAGTATGGGATTTCCCGAGATACCCAAGATACCTTTGCCGCGAACTCATTTGCTAAGGCTGCCGAAGCGCAGAAGTTGGGTAAATTCAAGAGTGAGATCGTGCCTGTCAAGGTGAGTGATACGTTTCGCGACTCGCCTTCTGAATATTCCATCATCTTCAACATCTCAACAACCGTCTTATCGTATTATGACAGCGTATGTGATTGCCGCCTTAATCATAGTGAAAGGTTCAAGACTATGTTGAGACTTGCGGGTTATACTGACGTCACAGGTGAAATGGACCGACCCCAAATCGGAAGAAGAAAAGGAGATTATCGTCGATTCGGACGACGGTATACGAGCAGGTGTGACCAAAGAATCTTTGGCAAAGCTCAAACCTGCCTTTTCAGCCGATGGCAGTACTCACGCTGGGAACGCATCTCAAGTTTCCGATGGTGCAGCTGCTGTATTGCTGGCTAGACGATCCGTAGCTCAGAAATTGGGTCTTCCAATCTTGGGGAAATTTGTCACTTCTGCCGTTGTGGGTGTTCCGCCGAAGCTCATGGGGTAAGTTGTTCATGTTCTTATCTCCCAATCAATCCTTCATCTCTCACTCATCGTCTTCTCCTAGCAAGGCTCTCGAGATAAGTGAAAATGTAAGAAGGAATGGATTGCTGAACATGAAGCATCGGCCCCGCATTCGCCATTCCCAAAGTCTTACAAAAAGCCGGTATATCCAAAGACGACGTAGACTTTTTCGAAATCAACGAAGCTTTCGCTTCTCAAGCAGTCATGTCCATTCAACATCTTCATATCCCCTTTGAAATTGTCAACCCGGTCGGAGGTGCCATTGCCATTGGTCATCCATTGGGATGTACGGGTGCTAGGCAGATTGCAACGGCTCTAGCTGAAGCGAAGAGGGAGAATAAGAAAGTTTTCGTCACTAGCATGTGTATTGGTAGTGGGATGGTGAGTCCGAGTTTGCTCCCCTTATAACTTGTACTTGGGATTTGTATCATAAAGAATAAATTGGAAAATGTGCTGATGAATAGGGAATGGCGGCTGTTTTCGTCAATGAACAGTGATGGATATGACATGTAGTGTATGTGATGAACTCATGATTGTGACTTGTTCTTCTTCCAACCAGATTCGTTTCAACTTGCACGATGGATGTCATCATGAGAAAATGTGTTTGATAGGTCTTCCAATCTATGCATCATGCATCTTCTCCTTGATAATCATTTCAAATCAAAAACGTCCCATCTTGTACACAACGATTGTCACAATGAGCAAAACTAAATTTTATACTAGACACGAGGGGGGTAATGCAAGGCAAATTCAAATATCAAAAGAGAGCAGACAATCCAATTTCCAACCTTCATTTCTCCAAACTTTTGCTTTGTTTTTTCCTCTTTTATTCTTCATACATCCATTTGACTGCAACTATCCCTGCACCTGTACTTCCCAATGGAATCTCCTCCTTCAAACCACAGATCCCGGTATGATCCATCACATCAATATTTCCAAGTGTCTCTTCTCCCGAAAACACCTCACACCGACATCTCAAGAGAGCCCCGTCCACAAGTTAAGATCAAGATGACCGAAGGATTTTCGACAACATACAACCGGACGACAAGTCATCATGGTAAAGTAGGAAACGTTCCATCGAGATGTAATTCGTTATCGTCGTTTCCGAAATTAGCATGGTCCCACTGATCGTTAGCACTAACTTCACTCGCCCCTGATGATAGCCAGCTAATTCCATGCACATCCTTTCTCTGGTTGACTTCTGCACCGATACGCGTAGCACCCGTTACCATCTTCATGGACAAAAAGACTTTCGGGAAATGGACCGAAGAACCGGAAGGAATTGGACGTGTGGGAAGAGGCAAACGAGTAGACATAGGGATGGAGAACAACATTTGAGAGGCTCGAGATGATGATGAGAGGGCAGAGCGAACTCAATAGAAGACTGAGAGGAAGAGAGGATGAGAGGAAGAGGAGCGGGACCAATATAAATATAAATTGAAAAAGGTCAAATAAGCTCTCCACTCACATCAAACTCGAAAAACGTCTCTTCATTCTCCTGCCCTGGATTCTGCGCAGGCAGAGGCGACATTCCAAAATTGAACCCGAAATCATCCCCACCGAACAACTTTAGATCATCCGCTAATCCTCTCTGCTCATTCTGCTCCATTTGCTGTTGCTGTTGAAGCGATTGTTGATTCATTGGCATCTGAGGAAGATTCGGTTGTCCCTGTTGTTGTTGTTGTTGATGTTGGTTGAAATCAGAATGTTGAATATGCATTTGTTGTTGTTGCTGCTGCTGCTGTTGTTGTTGTTGAAGATGTTGAGGATGTGGTGAAGGTCCTGCACTACCTAAAAGATCCATAGGTAATTGAGAATGTTGTGATCTTGAGGAACCGGGTGCTTGACCCTGTCTTGATAGATTATGAGGATCAAAGTCCATTCCGAAATGATTAGGAGTTTCTGGGGTTTGTTGTTGATTAGGAGTAGGGATAGCTTGAGGTGTAGAATGATCCCAATCGATTGAATTACGTTTACCACCCTGATAAAGAACAGCTTCAGCAATACTTCTCCAATATGCATCTTGACTGACCTTATGTTGTCCTTGATTCTGACTCATCTGATTCTGATTCTGCATCTGACCAGGTGTCTGGTTCATATTTTGATTCTGATTCTGATTCTGCGCGGCTTTCGCTTTCGCGGTCATATTCTTGGGAGGTTTCTTAGCACTTGGTTTTCGTTTACCTGAAGCGGTTGAAGTGGCGGTAGTTTCAGGAGGTTCAACAGCGGTATCTCGATCGAGATTCAGTGGTGGAGCTCTTCTCGCTTTGGGTTTACCTTTAACCCCTGGACCACCTACATCACCATCGCCAGACTGTGATTGAGCACCGGCGCTGGGAGGAGGCATGGAAGGTGTGTTATGTCCACCCAGGTTGGTATCTATCGAATCGAGCATGAAATTTTCAATGGGAGAAGCGCTAGTCATCCCGTTCACATTGACATGTGGTCCGTTACCGTTCATCTGCTGAGCACTTAAAGTGGCAGCTTGTTTTCTGGTTTTTTCGGCGATTTCCATGGCGTAAGTCCGATGAGCGTCACTGAGCATTCTTTGAGCTTGTGGCTGTCCAGTCAGCCAAAGAAGTGCACGTTGAGCCAGGCTATTAGGACCCACCTGGGGAACACCAGGTGTTGAAGGAGGTCCCGGCATTCCTTGTATCATCCAAGGAGGTTGCCCAGTGGCTTTAGCAGCTACTTCAAGTGCTTTACGTTGATGTTCCTCAGGTGCTGAATGATCAGCCATGATCCATATAAAAGGTAGGAAAGACACACTCGGTGTTTTCCCCTCTTCACGATTCCTCTTGGCTCCAGGTCCAGTCAGAGGACTACCTGCAGGTCGTTTTGATTTAGCGCTACTGCTGGAAGGAGAAATACCTCTATCTAAACCGACAGGTATCTGTATGTGCGGTGAGGGGTGTATCATATGTCCAGGTGTGCCATTCCGAGGGGGTCCGTTGACGTTGGGCATGTTCATAGGATTCTGCATCCCGTGCATGTTGGGATCGGAAGGGTGGAAATGCTGTTGTTGCATACCTGGCTGACCCATCATCGCAGGATGTTGTTGACCCATTGGCGTTTGTTGACCGGGCCACATTTGCTGACCGTGCTGCATTCGCATTTGTCGCGCTTCTTCCGGGTTGAAGTAAGCTTGTCGACCGTCAGGTAAAACAAAGGTGTAACCTTGAGCTGCTTGCTGCTGCTGCTGTTGCTGAGCTTGATGTTGCTATTTAGGCATCAGCTCGCATACAATGGAATATGAATGATTTACCATGCCCATTTGCTCTGCCCGCATCTGAGCTTCTCTCTGCTGAGCGGCGATTTGAGCCTGTTGAGCTTGTTGCATGCTCTGAGCCTGCTGCAATGTAGCGGTGATTGGTCCGGGGCCTGAAGGTTGTTGTTGTCCTTGCCCTTGTTGCTGCGGCGTCGCTGTCGGTCCCGAAGTATTCGGTTTCATGTCGACAGAAGAGGCGCGAACGGCTGCAGCAGGGGAGGAGACAGCTATGCGAGCCGCCATGGCAGAGTCGGGGCAAGCTGCAGTAGTCGGTGCGGTGGGGGGGTGAGCGGCAGTGTCGGGAGCTTTTGTAGTAGGCTCTGTAGGTCGTCGTCTCTCTGATCCTGTCTGAGTGGTTTCATTAGCCTCAACTGTATATCCGGACTTCATCAACTTTGAAAAAGTCTGATGAGCGGTCCACCACTGACTGTCAGCTTCTCACTACGGCATCTTGGCCAACTTACAGAGTAAAGCTTTCCTAAATCCTTCCCCGCCCTCGACTTGACCACATGGGTACCTTTGACGTCCTGTGCTTGCATCGTCTCCAAAGCGACAGAGTCATCCACTTCCATCTCGTCGTCTCCCTTGGATGGGGACACTTTGGTGGGCGAACCTTGCTGACGCGGAACTTGGTTCTCGGTAGTCTGATGGGGAGATCCATCAGTGTCCAGCAGGGGTTTCTTAGGACTACCTTCCACGCTTGGAACCACAGGAGTGTCTTCAGAGCGCTTGACGACGGGGGAAGGAATACCGAGTGGGTGAAGGATTACAATATCTTCATTTGAAGCGGTCTTAGTCATCTGAAGAGACATTTTGATCGGTGAGCCGTCGACAGGAGTTCGGAGTTCGAGCGATGTGTTTCCAGATAGACTAGCAAGCATGTCTACGCTGGAAGCATTGCTGTTCCGTCTTTTCTCCCCCTCGCCTTGCTTGTCCGATGTCGTTGTGGATTTCGGTGAACCATCATGGGTCGTAGATTTGTCTTGTAAAGCCGCTTTGAAGCTCTCTTCGACTTGTGAATAACCCGCTTTGGATAGGCTGGTACATCAGCTAAAAGCTCAGACTTTACTGATTGAAACTGACTATTCCAGAACAAGCTCTGTGAAGAGTGCCTCATCCTTACATTCATCCTCATCTTCCTTCCCTTCATCTCCGCCTTCGCCAGCTTCGATGGTCTGCAGCTTGGCCTGTAACAAACGCATCTGTGCCTTGATTCTGCTAGATTTGTCCGATTGTCGTTTGACACGAGAAACGGCACTCTCCAGCAGCTCTACCTTGTTGTCATTGTAGTACCTTCGATGATGAGCTTGTGAAGGACTTGGCGGGTTCATCTTGCTAGGAGAAACTGTTCCTGCTCTTTGCGAGGTGGAGAGACCGATCTGAACTGGCTTTATCGGAACGGGCAGGGTCGCCGATCGCTCGGGCATCGTCGGTTGAGAGTGATTCATGTTAGGGACCGAGGTAGGTCCTTGCGCTTCTTGCATTCCGGCGTTGACGGGGATTTGAGCCAAAGGAGAAGTCGACCGACCGGGACCAATAGAAGCTGCTCGTGCCATCTGAGGGATTTGAAGGTGATTGGCAGATGACTGATTGCCTTGTTGAGATTGACGATTAATTTGACCCTGTTGCTGCTGCTGTTGCTGTTGAGGCTGAGAGTTGGGCGGTCGAGGAGTGCCTTGTTGTATCATGGTAGGTTGACCCATTTGCTGATAATGCTGCATGACATGTTGTTGCAGCATTTGTTGATGATGAGGTTGAAACTGTGCTTGCATTGGACGACCGACGGAATTGGTTCTGACCAGAGGTGGAGCTTGTTGCCATGCTCCGGTCGGTACGGGACGTCCTTGAGGATCATAAGGAGGCGGATGACCATTGGGAGTCATGGTCGGTCTCATGGCTGGGGAACCAGTCGCGAGCATGTGAGGTGAAGGATGTATCGATTGAACAGCTTGTACCGTTGACATGGGTTGCATCGACATAGGTGTTTGTTGAACGGCGACACCTAAACCTCTTTGAGCGGCAGCTTTAGCTTCACGTATACGAATTTGATGTTGCTGTTGTTGCTGCTGTTGTAGACGGAGTTGGACAGCTTGGAATTGAGGATGATTTGGATCTAAATAGTTTTGAGGAAATTGACCTTGTTGTTGTTGTTGAGTCTGTTGTGCGATCCGTGCCATTTGTTCCATCATGGCTTGTTGATCATGACCGATAGACATGTTGCCGTTAAAAGTCTGTGGAAGGCCTACGGGAGGACGAGGTGGATGATTCTGTGGCTTTGGAATATCAGCCTCTGTCATATGACTTATATAGGTTCTATTCCGTGGTTTACGGAGGGATTGAGAAGTTAGGAACGTGTGTATGACTCACAGTCATGCTCATATTGGAAGGAGTGAAGATGAGAAACAAGAAACTCGAAGTAGGTGGCGAAAGAGGGAGTTGAAGCTGTGGCGGATGAAAGGATGTATGTACCCGACTGTGAGACACGATATCAGCGAGTTGTCTCCAAACTGATATCCACAACTCCCGAGTCCGATCTTCTCAACTGAGCGTGAGTGCAAGAGGAAGGTACGTGTTGAAGAGTGACGATGAGAGTTGTGGTGAGTGACCGTATGGATGGATGGATGATTAAGAAGAAGAGTGTTTCATCTTTACAAGGAAAGTAACTAAGGAAATGGAGAAAGATAGGAAATGTGAATCGGCTCACGAGGCAAGTTTTGATTGACGTTTGTATTCTAAACCCCCCTATAGCTCGTGATCCCAACGTAGTCGATCACGTTGACAGTCGGATGGTGTGTAGATGAGGATGGATGTAGTATGATAGAAGAAGAATAAAAGCTGTAAAAAGATGAGATGAGCCCCCCTCTTCCCTTGGATAAAGGATGTTTGAAAATGTCTACAGTATTCCGCTTTATGATGTTGTCAAGTGAGAGATGTGAGACACTCACTTTCCAACACGACAGATTTCTCAACCTAAATGAGATCCAACCATTTTTGGTAGTACAATCGTGTGTATTTGAGAGGTAGAAAGAGAAGGATATGATGAGATAGAGCTTTCTTCCCAAGGGAAAGAGAGAGAGGGGCGGGGGTGTAAAAAAAGGATGAAAGGAGTGTAATGGAGTAACGCCGTCACGGTTTGACAAACTGCAACAAGCAACAAGATAATCCCGACGCGACTTTTATATCGGTCGGTTTGGTGGCTATCAAGATGCCTTTGAGGATTTTATGTTAATGTTATCACACATGAGCTAACAGATGAAAGATGGTGGACATGTGAGAGAGTAAATGTTGGTGAGAGGGAGTGATGTGTTTGTTTGATGGGTGGAAAAAGATGCAAGGGGAGAGAGAGAGAGAGAGAGACGGCGAAAGGGGCGAAAGTGAGAGAGGGGCCCCGATAGTTACCCCTCACGGATATACATACAAGGTACAACGTCACTCTACCACATTCCTCCGACTACCCTGGATCCAGCGAAGAGAAAAGCATACATCGGCACACTTTGAAAGACTCGACTTCTTTATGAAATACTGTCAATCTCGCCCATCGTCCTCCCTTACATCTAAACAACAAGTCTCGATAGCCTACGTACTTAGATCTTGGAATAGCGGACCGACCAATCAACGTGAATAAATACTTCACCCATCGATCCATCGACCCATTTCCATCCCTTCTATACCATTCAACATACTGCCAGAACCCACGTCAACTCTTCATCATCAGCCCCATTCTCCTTACACTCACCAGCAGCGAATAAACAACTCACAATCTATCCAACATATCATCATACTCCGACCGAGACAAAACAGTCATGGCCAACATGAGTCTACCAGCTTTCACATCGCTCACCCCTAATAAATTCGCCATACCTCTTTTGATATCCATGACTTTTGTAGGTTTGCTAACACTCGGTTTATCTATTCATCAGCCAGTCCTATCTCCATCGTTCTGGCCAGAAAAGGTGTTCATCAACAACCGAGTTACTCACCATCCGTCTTTCCCCATCCCACACGAAGATGACAATCGAATAATTCGAAATCTTGCATTTTTTCCACGGCCAGGACGGCACTGTTCCTATGACGGTATTTGACAAATGCGACACCTATCCTCGGGGGTATTTTGACCTAAGATAAGTATCTACCTCCACCATCTTCACAGCAACCCTATTCAAATACAAAAACCGAGCTTCAACATACCTCGTTTCAGTCTTCAATTCGGTAAACAACGAGGACCAACATAAGTCGAAAACAGTTGATACCCAGGGATTATTATACGAAATGAAAAGAAAAAAAACTTAGACTCACATATTCTATCTCTCCAAATACCGAGAATACCGGCCAAATATGTTCTTCCCTCACTTTTGTTGAAGAAACATTCCCTAGAAAAACAGTAGTATTCCCTGGTTCTGCGTTGGGATCCGGACGAGGGAAGAATCCTCCCATTTGAGGAGGAGACATTTTACCATCACGAAGATCTTTAGCTGTAGCGATTCTGGAGAGAAGGTAAGAAGTTGGGTCTGAAGATTCGGCGAAAGAACGTAAGAGTATTTGATCCAATTCTACACCTTGTCCCACTTCATACTGTCTCCGACTTTCTTCATTTTTACCTCTTCCCTCTCCGTTCTTCATTCTTCGTCCTTCTTGTCCTTTCCCTTGATCTGTATGGTTTCTCGAACTGGTGTATTTATGATATGACCAATCTGATTTATCCGTTATACTCTTCTGAACATTGGGATTTTGTTCAAATGGTTTACGTTCAATCTTCTTCCATACTTCCCTTCCTACTGCCCAAATATCAACAGGAGGTCCGATAGAATTGACTTTCAAATCATCTTTATCCCATTCTGAGGAAAAACCAGTAGACCAAGAAGGACTGACATTTTCATGAGAGGGATTAACTCCTAATCCCAAGGCGGAACAAAAAGGAGGTTGATATTTGTCATAGAATGGTATATCCAAATTATCCAAATCTTTCGGAGTGGGAGGAGAAGGGAGAGAAGAGATGGATAAAGAAGGAAGACGATCAAGACATGTTGTCAAGGGTAGACATGCGTCGGTATGAGAATGAGGTAAAGAGGGGTTGTTATGGGAATATGTCGGGATACGATGTGTGATCAGGTTATCTTGGGAGTATTTCATGTCTGGGATAGAGGTTTGAGAGTGTGTATCGAATTTGTTGGATTGACTGGAAAGTGGGCTTATCGATTGAGGAGAAATGAAATGACCATGAGGAGGAGTGGTAATTGGGGAAGAAGCGACGAAAGGTTTGATTTCAGGCATGATGTTTTCGTGGCGATAGATGATACTTGAGTGTGTCCGATGAATACTGTAAATATGGTTGATGGTGATCTGTGGGGGATGTATAAACCAGCTATAAGATGAGAAAGAAAGAGTTAGGGGTTAGGTGCTAGGTATAAGTACTAGTGAGTTGAAGATGATCATAGGAATGAGTGGTGGGGTGGATGGTAAAATGACCGGTCAGGTCCTCTTTCGTGAATTTCATCCTTTGAGAATCATGCATCAGTTTGCGTCGTTTGTTCCACCATGGACCATGTGTTCTTGTACGAGGTGAAAGTAACACTACAATATTGGGTTTACGCATTGTGAAATTTGACACGTCCAATAAATACGAATTGATGCTGGACAGGGGGAATAGTGTTAGAGGGGGGGAGATTGCAATAGCTTGATGATTGCCGACCCCGCATAAGTCGCCGTCGGACTCGGATACGGATGCGGGTTCGGGTTCGGATTCGGGTTCCTGATTGTACATCATGCATCTGTTCATCTTTCTCACTTTGACACGAACTCCCACCTCAGATTAGAAGAGATATAATTATTTATATATTGTGGAATGGAGGATGAGTGGGGAGAGTTCATTCAGACTACCCTCCTTTTCTCTTCATCTTCTTTCTCCAACCTCTGTACGTCAGTCATGGGCCTTATACAATAAGATCCACACTACCAGAGCGAACACGAAGCAGCAAGTCACAGTCACGGCATCAACATAATTCAACGAAATGTCGAAAAAGGATATTGTCGCTTAGAACAAGATCAAAAAGAGTTGATGAAGGGTGATACGGAGGGGAGGACGTTAAGAAATGAGTCAAATTCAGGTGGAAAGAAAAACACTGACCTGCCTCAACATCTCAAGAGTAGCACTTAAACTATCCATCTTCTCTCTAGCGAATTCTCTAGCACGTTCATTCGCTTGATTCTGAGCTTCTGAAGCGGCTTTCCTACGTTCTTCCCATAAAGCCATAAAAGACCCTTTGAGTTTATCTAATTCTTCCCATGTTTCCCCTTTATCCTTTTTCGTTTCTTGACCCATTTGGTTCGTCTTTGATGCCTGATCAGTCTGGGTGATACCATTGGTGGTTTCATTACGATGCCAACGGTTATGCCAACGCCAACGACGTTCTTCTGCCGATACCATCGGTTGTGTCGAGGGGATAGGAGGGGAAACGTTGGTTATGGGAGGTACGACGTATGATGATTGTTGTTGTTGTTGTTGATTATTTGGGATTGGAGGAG